AATGTAATTTTTTCATATCTATTATATCTCATATACATATAGATTCTACCACTGCATCGAGTATGATACGATATTTATCCACTCGAGACAGTTAAAATTTCAAATTTAAAACGCGAGGCTCGCCGAGCGTTTTAAATATTTAAAATTTAACTGTCGAGAGTGGATAAATATCGTATTACACGAGATTTGGTGGTGGAATCTGTTTCTCTAATGATTTTCAAACAATACGCAGGCAAATTTATTCCTTCTTTTCGAATGATCTGCAAAAAGATGTGTTCTTTCTATGTGACGTCATCAGCCATGGTCGCCTTTTTTCATGCCGTCACAATAGGAAATTCAGAGGAAAGCAAGAAAATTCGACGTCATAATCGGATTTTAACCAATGAAGAACTGAGATCAAACGAACCACACGTTGATTAAATTTTTTTTATACAATGGGTGCAGAAAGGGATAAATTGACGAAGAATTAGAGAAATATATATATATATGCACGTAGATGGTTTCATCGATGACAAAACTCTTGAATATTTCAACGGAAACCAAAAAATCCCAAACCGGGCAGATTTTATCTTTTACCTAAAATTCATAAGGCCAATAACCCAGGAAGACGCATCGTTTCAGCGAACGGTCATCCGATTGAAAAAAATTTCGGAATTCGTTGACTTCTATCTTCGTCAACATTTTGAAGACTTACCATCTCACATCAAAGACACAACCGATTATCTTAGAAAAATGCAGGCCTTAAATCCTCTTCCTTCCGACACGACACTTGTCTCTATGGACGTCACTCCCTCTAAACGAATATTCCACATGCAGATGGCATTAATGCATGTAAAGAAGTTTGGGATTCCCGACCAGTAAAATATCCACCTACTGAATGCCTGGTCAAAATTTTCACGCTGGTATTAAAGAACGACAACTTCACCTTTGATGGAGATCATTATCTACAAGTTAATGGAACTGCTATGGGTACCAAAATGGCTTCATCATATGCCAACATATTTATGGGCAAATTAGAAAAACAATTCCTTGAGTCTTTAATCGAAAAACAGTTTCCTGGTTTAGATTTATAGATGATGTGGATATGAAATGGAATAAAAGTGACGAGAATTTAGATACATTCATCACTCATGCCAACAACATACATCAAAGTATCAAATTTACTCATGAGAGATCTAAATCCAAAATCACCTTCCTCCATACTTCCAGCTCCCTTACAGATGGCATTATATCCACAGACCTATATTCTAAGCCTACTGATACTCACCAATACTTGTCCCCTAAAAGTTGCCATCCTGCTCACTGTACTAAGAGCATCCAGTACAGTCAGGCACTCAGAGTCAAGCGAATATATTCCAACACAGAAACAACTAAATAACGACTGAGTCAACTCGAAACCCGCTTGAATAGAAGGGGCTATAAACACAGAACTATTCAAAAAAGTTTTCAGAAAGCGGAAACTATCCCAAGGAGTAAACTGTTAGAATACAAAGATAAAAAGAAAGTAAAAGGACTCCATGTGTTCTTACTTACCACCCATCTCTCAAAAACAGCTTCGGTGTCATTCGTGAGCATTGTAAAACAGTTGAAAAGAACTCCAAACTATCCAAGATTTTTCCCGAGCCCCATGATAGCTTTTAAGCAACCCAATAGTCTGCGGAACCTGCTGGTGCGGGCTGAAGTGTCTGATCCGAGAAGAACTTCTGGAGAATGTCGTTCGTGTGATGAAAAACGCTGCAAATGCTGCCTACAGATGCATCACTCATTAACTTTTCACAGTAAGGCAACCGAAAATAACTATAGGATATTTTGCAATGTGACCTGCAAAAGTATGAATGTTATTTACATTCTAGAATGTTCGGTTTGTGGCTTCCAATATGTTGGTGAGTCAAAGCAGCCTTTCCACAAACGCCTCAATGGCCATAGGAGTGATATCTCTAAGAAGCCACTTCTCCCAATTCTTTGAAAGCCATTGGTTAAAGACTAGCTCTATTCTATGACCAAAAAGTTATTTATTAGTCACAGCTCTGTTACTCTGTTTATATATATCCGGGGGACAGTCAGTGTTTTTTAGACAATAGAAGCTAGCACTCTACATCTTCAGATAGAGTACCAGAGTCAATTTACACTTTAACCGGTTTCAGCCCTTTGTTGGACTTTCATCAACGGCATATAAGAAATTAACAGCTCTTATTTCATATATATACTAATAATTTGTCCTGTTAACCGGCGGTTAACTAGCGGAGTTAACCGGTTAACCTGCGGTCTAATAGGGACCTCTGGATCCAAGATTTAAAAAATTCAATACAAAGTGGTTGACTGTAACCTCCAGTAACTGTTTACAGTAACATCTGATTACAAATACGAGTTAATCGCAGATAAATCGGTTAACTTTGCTAGTTAACCACCAGTTAACATGACCCATCAACAGTATATGTAAGGAGTAAGAACTGTGAATTCCTCATTTTGCATCTGATAAAAGTCGGTCAACAGACCGAACCCGGTCATTTATGAATCGACTAAGGTATATAAAAATAAGAAGATGTGGTATAATTGTCAATGAGACAACTCTCCACCAGAGACCAAATGACATAGAGGTTAACAATTATAGGTCACAGTACGGCCTTCAACAATGAGCAAAACTTATAACGCATAGTCAGCTATAAAAGGTACTCCATTTTAAGATGTGACGTACTATTTTCTATTGTAAGTCAATGATATGTCCTTCAGGAGATAGTATTAATATTTTGGACTGGTCCATTATATGATAGAATCATTGCTATTATAAGTTTTCTTGCTTGACCGAACTTTTCTGAGATAGAAATAACGAATGAAATGTAGCGTGTATAATGATAGATATATCAATGACATGCTACCATTACACTTACTATTTTGTATCTTATAGTTAATTAAGTCTGTAATTCTTTTGTTAAGGTGGAATATGATTATTTGGTTGTGACAGATTTTAACAGTCAACAGATATTACATTGTATTGATTGTGGTGTATGGCCAATGTAATACGATGACTGACAGTACGTAATAAACACTCTCTCTCTCTATTGATGACGTAATAACCATTCTCTCTCTATTGATGACGTAATAACCATTCTCTCTCTATTGATGACGTAATAACCATGCGGATAATGATATAATATAAGAATAATGAGACGCAGTATAGTTGCCAAATGACACCATTATCTTCCAAAGGCAATGGAAATAGAAAATGAAAGCATACAATTTATTTTCGCTTTTTAACATAGAGTAAAAACGTTCAAAAAGGGTATAATTGCTTACTCTGGAGTTGTTTTAATGCCAATAATACAACATTTTCTTTTTTTATATAAAGGCGTTAAATGGTACTCTGCCATTAAATATATTACATTGGATCGATTCAAGCTGAAACTCGTTTTAAGTTTGTATAAAAATTGTGATAAAGATTCCTAAGACTTTAATCTATCTATGTTTGGTTTATATACACGACCAAAGTTATGGGTAGATTAAAGCGTTCTTTTGTTTTGATCACTCTCGGGTCTGAGAGATTATTCGGTATCAACACGAATTATATATGAGTACAAACTGTGTTAGAACAAGTTTTACCAACTTTTTTTGTTTTCGATTTGTTTTGTGATATCGGTGTTTATGCATTAAACAATCGGACCTTGCATATGCTCATCAGAATCATTAAATTGTATTACTATTTTCACATATGTGAATGTAACGTGTGTAATATTTTGAATAAAAACGTGTAACATTTTATATCGAACTTGAGTTTTGAAAAAAAATGTGATGATTTTACGAAAACGATGATATATATCTATTGTATAACTTAAACTATGAATGTATTTTGTTAACGTAAGATCATATATTAATATATTCCAAAGTAGACACGAAACAATAAACATAATATGTTCCGTTTACAATAAGTTGTACCGGTAGAATTATTTGCTTTTTTATTTTAATATTTGTTTTAATGTAGCACTACAAGCGTATATTGGTTTTTTTAGTTAATGTTTTTTTTATTACATTATTTTAAAGTATGTATCAATCTGACAATATTGTAAAAATCCTAAAGTCATTATCTTGTCACAACAGGGACTATATTGAACAAACATTGTAGTGATACCTTCTATGAAGATATTAACTGAACAATTCAAACTTAAAAAATGAATACTGTCAGGCGAGATCCAGTGAATGCAATACACACGAGCACCTAAATTCAAGAATCCATATTTGCTTTCTGTTCTTATGCATGGACGACAAGACGTTTGGGATAAATCAAAAGCGTGACCATGGTATCGTTTGAACTAAAAAATTTAGAGTCAAGTTTACATTTGGGCTAATTATTTTTACTCTAAACAGGTAAATTTGAGGTAAAATGTATCAATATAAATATTTGTTATGAAACATGTAGATATTAAAGGAGGGATACAATCTACATAAAGAAATATGGTCATTTGGAAACCATGCTAGTTTGAAAAGAAAAGAACTTTAAGTTTTATACCATTTAATTGAAATGAAGTTACAGTGAAGTAATGGCTGTTAAAATTAAGGACCAAAACACATCTGTAACAAAAAATCTAATGGTTGTACTTTTTTAAATCTTAGCATAGCTGTTAAACAGTATTTAGTGATTGGCAGGGAGCAGTCACTGTATATCAAACGGAATGGGTATATTAAACAAGAACATGTTATCAATAGAATGACATTTATATTAAAATGTAACTAAAATATATGTGAGGATTAGCCAAAATGTCGACTTGCCATTGGCCCCAAAAAAGTAACAAATGTTTAGCACAATGTTACACAATTAGCCCAAACGTGCAACTCCCTTATACATATAATTGTTCTGTATAAATGATTTTTTTTGTAATTTACTGTTTTTGTATTGTTTATTTTTTAATAGAAGTCCCCCACTTTTTATCAATCTTAGTCTATTTTAATGCTTTTATAACTTTAACATCTGTTTGTTAATGTTTTGGTGAAAATTAATAACATCTTACCTGTTTCTCTTTTTTGTCTTTTCTTGAATACGTCAAACGTCACACATAAATGTACTTAATCCACAGAGTTTAATGGAATCTGTTTATTCGAAAAATCACAGTTGTAAATATTCCCGGCAAGCACAAGTAATACTCCAAAGTAATTCTACTATAAAACTAAGATACGTCGAAATGTTCGTTGACAGGATCTCGCTGAAAATATTACAACATAGTGTTTATCTTGTTTGATTAAAACTGTTTATTTGTAAACTATGTTCGATATCCATTTGAATATATATCCTGTATATGTTCAAATAAAAATGTTCCGTGACTCGTTCATGGCAGGAAAAGACCACTGTAGGCTAAACAATTGTATTTTCTTTTTTTTCTTCAAAGTAAATACATGACCGGTGATATGCAATGAATGCTGTGAGTTATTGTCAATTGATTTTACAATTATAAATGCATAATACTGATTGCAGTGCGCCCGGCGCGTGTATATGAAAAAACTTTCACAAGTTACATGTTTAGGAGCCAAATAAATAAAACATTAAAAAAGAATCAAAACCACAAATAACCTTCACAGAACAGTGGAAATCGACTAATGTTAAATTTTATAGTTGAGAATGCAGCTTTAATTTTATACCATTATCTAATTTAAAAACTGAACGTTTTCAATTCAAATGCATAATTCAAATACTTTCCAACACTCTAAATTATTCCAAGATTTTAACAATTTAACCAGAGATATATAATACCATTAAATCATTATTGTGAGTATCATATGTTTTAACTAATTTCTTTTATTATTTATCCAGCAGATTTTGACATTAACAGTTAAAACGCTTGAATCACGTGATATTTTCATAGCTCGATTAAATCAAATCATATTCGTTATTACTTATATTTTGCTGCCACTTCTGCTGTTGATAGCTCTGTTTCGATTGGTATATATTTAAGTGACGAATTATTACACTTACCTCTATATATATATTAATCCTTAAAGCACTGCAAATGATATCTGAAATTAAAGATGACAATGTTTAATTATGTTTATCAAAATTACACCTCATTGGTCACATAGCAGATGTCCTAATCACATGATCTACCCTTAAGACAGTAGACGATCATATAAACGATTGTTGACAAAACCCAGCGATATAAATCATTGGAGAATTCTCATCACAAATATGGATCTCCCACCGGACAACATGCTACATGATCCTATCTGTAGAGTAAATATTCATTAATTTCTGGCCTTTTGGATAGCAATAATTTCTTCACAAAGAATCATAGAATGTCTAGTTATTTGATTAAGTCACTCCTGCCTTCATAATTCACTTACAGCCGTTTATATTTTATATCTCCTTCTCTCTGTTTATCATTAATTGAATTAAAACGTTTAAAGGAAAACATGGTAACTTAGTTTTATAAATGAAGTAACTATTTCAATAAATATCACAGAGTAATGGTACGTTTTATTGTTGGGGTTATTTAGTATTCTTGAACAGTGACAATATAATCTCTTCGGGATGAAGGGATCCAATGCTCGGAAAATTTATCTGCAATTAAGAATTGAACGGTCACAGAATTGAGAGTAAATTATTCTGCATGAGTTTCTGGTACCTGATAAAAAAAAAGCTTCTACTAGGGATCTAACAGAGACGCACTATGGATTAAATTTTCATTTTCTGGTTCAAAATAGCATTTAATGAGATAAATTTTGTATTTGACATGATTTTTCTTTTGATTTAAAGATTCTCTTAAACTAACAATCCTTCTATAAGATAAAGAATCTGTTAATTTCAGTTCAAAAGTTAAGAAATTTAAAATAATGATGTCATATACGTCTGAAGTCCAACTCACTTAACCAGGGTGTATAGCTGATGTTGTGTCGTGCAGTGTGTCAAAGGTCGTACAAACATTAAAAGATCACCATGTTCCCGCCAATATAAACAGTGGTATGAAGTGGGAAAGTGATTCAACGTAGAAATGCGGATCAAGACAAATAATCTTCAAATAAGAACAAATTCGTTTCAGGTAAATAGTAAATATTGGGTGGGTATCACTACTTACATATCTATATATCTAATAAACAGAGGTATATAGATACCAGATGCATTATTTTTTATATCAGTAGACACTTGAGATTATTGTAGCTTAAATTCAAACGTTACACCTAAAAATATCATCCTTAACATTAACAGAACAGAAGTGAATGTTTCAGGAGAAGTACAAGTAAAATGAGTTGAATTATGGAATTGTACGAAATGTGTCTGTATTCAGAACTAATTGACCTGCATCTTAATAAAAACTAGACAAAGTGATGCCCAAACACTCCACTCTGAAGTAACTGTATTATAACAAAGTCAATGTAGGACTTTCTTTGATATATTATTGTGTCTGGGAGACACAAATGATGCCCCCGCAGATGCAAAGTGTTATTTTAAAATACACAAAGTTGAGCATGGGAGCACATAGGTCTATGGTTCACTGTAGGAGGAGTTATCCGGAAACCCTATGCACCTCTTATGCAAGTATATACTCCAAAAATAACAAAGTTCAACTATCTCCTTAAAGAGCAAATATTGATAAAAATCAAAACCCTGACCACATGCACATCTTCACTATATGTACAAACAACCAGTAAAGTGAAAACTTCCTAGCATTCAAACTGTAGGAGGAGTTATCTGGAATAGCTATGCACCTCTTATGCAAGTATATACTCCAAAAATGAAGTTCAACTATCTCCCAAAAGAACAAATATCAATAAAAACCAAAACCCTGACCACATGCACACCTTCAATATATGTACAAACAGCCAGCAAAGTGAAACTTCCTAGCATTCAAACTGTAGGAGCAGTTATTTGGAATAGCTATATACCGATAATGGGACGGAAGGACGGACGGACGCACAGGGGTAAAACAATATGCCCCTAACTTTCAGTTGCTGGGGCATGAAAATGTTCGATTATACTTCAAGATATACGAACAAAAAAAGTCCAATAAACAATGAAATGAAAAAATCACGATAACGATGTAAAGACGTGACAAAGGACCATCTTTGATATAAAAGTGTATGTCTGTTCCACGTCCTATTGTCTTTATATTGAAAAGGTGAGCGAGGTCGAGCCGCACAAATAGATCATGTTGATGAATCAATTTTTGTTTTTCGAAAGCGACAATTTAGATTGAATTTTTACTGAAGAATTGTATATTTCATAATTATGTTTTGTCAGTTTGTTATTTCTGTTACCTTTTTACAATATAAAACTAAGGAGTTGTAGTAGGATACCAAAGGACGAGAACGTCAACAACTATGATTCACCGTACGGATTTAGAAAATAATCAATACCGTTACTGTGTTCTCAGCTATAAAAGGCCTGGCCTATAACAATCTTACAGTTCGAAATGGTACAGTCAATGCAAAATACAATTGAAGCCCCGTGTCGTTTTGGTTTAGTGTTGTTTGGTTTCTGTCTGCTAAATGCGTAGCTAGCAAAGCTTTTCAGTCATTACCATACACAAATATACGGAAGAAAACTAATAAAGACGCTTGAGACATAAAATAAGATTTATCAACAAAATGAAACAAAAAAGGACTTCTACTTATTCAGAGAATCTAAGGAACAGCTTCAATTGCTGTTGTTTGCCATAAAAACTTATCTTTTTTTTTCTACATCTGCCCTATAAAAAATCAACATTAACTTGGCATGACATAGAATACCAGGAATAAAAGGAGAATACATCGATGTTGTTACTCATCTTAGATATTTTGAACGCATGTTTCGAAATTTTAATTGTACTTTATCTCTAATTTTTAGATGTTTTTGGGGGTTACTTTTGTCGATGGACTACTGTTTCATTGGGATGTTTTGGGGGTTACTTTTGTCGTCTGTTTCATTGGGATGTTTTGGGGGTTACTTTTGTCGTCTGTTTCATTGTCGTATATCCACATCTTCTATTATTTCGTTATAATCTAATTTTGGAAGTTACACGTCTTCTGATTGGCTGAAAGTCTTTTGTCTATCAGCTTATAGACATAATTTTGTCATGTGATCGTGACGTCATCAACGTTTTTTTATAATTTACTCCTTAAAAATGAAATTTAGAATTAAATTACAAGGAATGACTGTAATATTGTTTCTGTCTATTCGAAATAACCTCAAAAATGTGGTGCACCACATTTTTGATGTTATTTCTTCATAGACAGAAACAATATTACAGTCATTTCTTAAAGACAAAAAGAGTACCGGTTTCGTCAAGTGCGGAACCATAAAAAAAAGATTTTTCTACAAGCTAGGCTTTATACGAAAACAAAACAACAACGAACGAAAATACCAAGATGACAATTAATATATCAAATAGGGACAAACAATACTACGGCAAAAATAATAGTAAAATACACGGAGAAGAGATATCACAATCTAATACAGAGCAACACCGGAACTTAAACAAAAATGGCGAATGATCTGTGATATCCGGACAGGTTGACAATTCCTGTTTTACGTGTGTCGCCGTCGTATTGCTCATGACTGATGAAAATAAAAGAAAACTAGTGAAAAGTTAAACAACAGTTTACAAACAACTTCACAGACATTTAAAGCCTGAGCAACAAATACAAGGGGTGATCTCTATTGTTCCGAAAGAGTACGCATATCATGCCCCTTTAGTTGCATACGTCATGCTGCTCATGGTAAGAAGAAAAATAGGTAATACGTCGCTTTCGTTGATCTTAATTAAGGGAACGGGTTGGTGGCAACGAATATAACATGTTTTATACTATCTTAGTAAGTAAATATCCAAGTGTACAGCAACGCATTTTAAAATGATTAAAAAAACTCGCATGGGATTTTCATGCCTATTGGCTCTATTTGAAGTATATTCCCTTTTCTAATTACTTATATATGTTCATCAGTTTTATTGCTAATTGGTAAGCAATTACTATTCTTTTTTATGTATGAAAAAATCTGACGCGAAGGAATTCTAATCATCTGAACAATTTAGATTATCAGATAATTCGTATCAAGTAAATTCTATTCTGATTATTTTTGCGATCAGCAAAAGATATTCTACAGTGGTTATACATGATTTTGAATGTATCGCACATAAGATATTTGATTGGTTTTTTACCTTACGTATTTTGGAAAGCACTCAAACATTATATCATTTAAGCTTTTTGCATAAAAAAGATATCTTGAATAAAATCATCTGTTCCTAAACAGTGACTATTTTCATGAGTCATGTACTCTTACTTTACCCCAGGCTTTTATTGTTTCAGTAAATTCTAATTTGTACATAACCTAACAATTATACTTGTTTGATCAGTGGTGAATAACCATTATATTGGCCTTTTGTTCATGACGATGCAATTTTATATAGATCTTATCGAACAAGGATCGACAGTATGTACGTAATCTACATGATGTATACATTTTTCAATCTCATTTAAAATACATGAACGTATTATGATGAACCAAGTCTTCTAAAATCACAACGATTTTGAAGCCGTATTTTAGAATAGCTATCGGATGTTAAGGAAATTGTTTACATTATTTCGTATCATACCCATCAGTCAAAACCATACATGTGTAATCTGTAGAATCATAAAACACATCTGAGAAACCTACAAACATAATTGTTGGTCATTTCTAACCCATACATATTATCAGATCATTATTGTCTGCCGTGGGCTCTGATAGCTTCGATTCATTATTTTAGCTCCACTGAACATTTCGCAGATAGACATAATGAAATCTTTCTTGCGTACATATTAATAGATAAGTCAGTGACATATTATCATTAAAGTTAATTTTGTATCTTCCAGTTAATTAGGTCTGTAATCCTGGTGTTAAGGTGATATATTGTTATTACATGGCACCATAGTTTGACAGTCTGGGCTAATTATATCGTTTATTGATTGGTGACTTTTGTCATGGAGTGATGGAAACTGAATAGTTAATTTCCTGCTTGTTATCCACTTTGTACTGTTTGTTTGTTTTTCGGACTAGTTTGACGGAAAAT